GACAACCACACACACACAGACCCACACACACACACACACAAGCAAGCTGCAGGGAGGGATGCAGACAGATAGGCAGTCAGCCGCTCAGACCCTGGCCCATATGGTGGACCTCTGGAGCTTGTTGCCTCCGCAGATAAGGGAGGGACGGATGGAGCAGAGATGTTTGGAGGAAGGCTTAGAGGAGAAGGAGGGGAGGTTGAAACTAATCAGGCAACCCCAACTGTCCACTGTCTTTGGGGAGTTTAGAAATGAATACATGTGGCTGATAGATCTACACAAGTGGGGGGTGTAAGTCTCCCATCCGTGCCATTTTTAGATGGACCGTTTTCATTTATTATTCAATAGTTATTTGGATTCTCAACATATTGTCACCATAATTATGTTCGTTAGCAAACCGGTATATATGATTAATTGTAGCGCAGAAATAGTTTAGTTTTTTATGTTTTTCAGACTCAATAAGTGTTTTATCTAAGAATATCTATAATGATGATCTGTAAACAAAGTATTTATTGATTTGTGAATTTCTATTTGTAAATGCTAAAATATTTCATTTATTTTTATTAAATCACAACTGTCACATATCTGTTTCCTACTATCTCAGAGGCAGATATGCCACAAAAAAACAGAAAAAAGAAACAGAGCTAATGACATTTTATTCCTGAAATCTCAATCGTGATTTAAAGATTTAAAGTAATTTGTTTTCTTTGAGTCTTTGTTAATCAGATGTCTTAAACAAAAGCATAACACAATAGCAAATGTCTTTTTTGTCTGTTGTTATGGTCTACAGGTTAAATTCCTGATTTTCTTTTCTCTGTGCGTATTAAAGACAGATCATTGAGATTAAGCCACTTCGTCTGTAGGTGTGTTTGACAGAAAATATAAAAACTAACACAAAAACCTGGCCAAACTGTTTTCAACATTGCAGCCACAAATTATTCTTGACAAATTGGAATAATTACAATTAATGAGAAGTGAACATTAAAAGCAAGAAAAAAAATTCAGGCATATTCTATCCAAGCACTTAGGATGATAAAATACTGGAAAACTCAAAATCTATACAATCATTGGGAATCCTGAAACATCCATCTCACATAAACACCTTTAGAAACCAGCTTACAGTCTAAATACTTACACACTATTTAGGCTCAAAGCAGCTAATATTGAGCAAAAGTAACAGAAATACATGATTTAAGAAATGGGAACACAAATTATTGTAAGAGCACTGCCACCCTTTTACTATAAAACATCCTGGCATGATTAAATGATAGGGTCTCTCCCCCCACATATGTAGACCTTTATTAATCCTCTTTAGAGTTTTTAAAACACATCAAGCCAAGCCTCTGAGGGACCTAAAGGCTGGCCACCTGCCACTCATAAGACAAAGTAATAGACAGATCTATAGAAAACTGGTCAGATGGTCAAACCCTTTTGTCATAAAACAAAACATAATCATGTAGATGCACTGTTTAAGTCAAACGCTGCATTTAAGGTAGTTTGTCTTTGCTGCTGAGTTGTTTATTGTGTTTAGTTTGTGGAGATACATACAACCAAAAACAGAGGGATAGAAGGCAAACTACAGATTTATGAGAAGAACCAAAATAAAATGCTTCATATGAAATAGGAATAAATAGTAGTTTAAAAACGGTGCAATCACAGAAATATTTGATCCATGATTTATTACATTACAAATTCACATTTACATTTTTAATATAACATTTTTAAAAATCTATTAAATAAACCGTACATCATACAAATTCATTTGTATAATATAGCTTAATTATTCAAAACAACATAATCATCAAATTTATGTATCTTGTATTAATTAAATATACTTACTCAAAATGAACACTAATAAGTTTTAATTTCAAATACACACAGTTTATTGTTGAAATTGCATGAGGGTAACCTGATTATCATGTAATTCAAACAATAAAACCTTGTGTATTTTATAAAAAAACACAGAAATGAACATACATTTTCAGTAAATATACTTAATTCATATCAAATGCATAAACCTGACGCTTAGAGGTTTTTGTATTTTTAATAAATAAGCAATTACAGACTAATGAATCATGTTAGGTCAATTTTATAGGTTTGTGTTAAATTATTACAAAAAAGGAATTGAGAATTTGTTATGGAACAAAATGACAAAAATCATAAAATTTGGGTGAAATATTTGTGTGTGCTATATGAAAAATTCAGTACTAATGATTGAGTTACTCTAAATGGCCTCTAGAGGGCACAGCAACGGTATGAATCATGTTTACAGCATAATATATAAATGTTACTGTTTCTGTTCAGACTTGGAACTAATAACTTTACTGTGAGACAATATATATTTCATTGAGAGTCTACGTTAAAAAAAATCACATATGACTGCTTTCTGGTGCTAATAAATTATTAATACAAGAGATATATTTGTTGGAAGCATTCCAAATGATTACTCCTCGTGTTAGACAAACTTCGGACTTTTATTGGTAGTTTTTTTTTTTTACTTTTTTTTTTCATCAAGTAATTTTATTTTTGTCTGATGTTTGCTTATATAAAACTTTTGCAAAGCATCACAAGCCAAAAATTCTGGGCATTTTGCCTTTTTTAATGTAATAAGAATATTTTACCAGTAGAGGGCGACAAAAGATTGCCAAAAAAAGTTTACAAACCAAAAATTCTGGTCGAAGTTACCAAACTGTATGTCAATAATAATAATAATAATAACAATAATAATAATAATAATAATAATAATTAAATAAATTAAAAGAATAAATTAAAAAGCACAAATAAAATATAAGTTTTTGGAAGTAAAACTGATAAGCTGCTTTAACCTCCTAGGAAGTTGTCATGGTAACAGATGGTCATCTATAAACCATCTGTAAAGGTTTAAAGCAATTTATAGTCAGTGAGCCAAACTTGTTTTCTTTCTGAGAGCAATTGGCCTAAAATCAGCCCACCCAGAAGCAGGTCTTTAATATTATGTACTGGAACCACATTGGTGTTTCACCTGCTGTGAAGCAGATGCAACACAGGCTGCCACACACACACCTACCACACACACATAGATTAGGAGCTGTGAGATCACTCGCAGATGCAAAAGTCTATTGAAATTGCTGGCTGCCTCATCAGCTTGTATCAATGACTCATGTTTGTTTTCAACTGTGTGTAATTAAGTGTGCCTCTGCTGAATCAGTATAACGACACAAGATTTATCAATGTTAAGTAGGAGTCTGGACCCAGAATAACTGACTTGGTAATGGAGTGTTGAAGACATAGTTTTAAGATATGAATCTTTACAATTCCTATAACTGACCATAATCTTTTTAGAAGACTAATCACCACAAAAATATATTTGTTCATAGATTTATATTCACAGTGTTTTTTTTTTCATATGCATGTTTTATTTTTTTTATTATTTTTTTATCAATCACTAAAGACTGTTGCCTGCTTGCCACTGTTAGGAAAACCACATGGATTCCTTGCATTCTGCTTGTAGTGATCCAATCGTTTATCTGTCACAGCTCTAGCAACAGCTGTTTTAACTGGAGGTTTTACAACTTTACTGCCTCTTATCCACCAAACACTCATGGAAGGCTACTGAGTTGGTTTTGTATGGAAGGATTAAAGGGAACGATAACACAAACAGCTCAAACAATTTTTTTTTTTAATTATTAGTACCGGTTTAGTTATAATCAGTTAGAACCTTTAGAGTATTAATATATTTTACAATTTAATATCTTATTTATTTTTTTATTTTATTTTAGTAGAAACCTTCTCAAGTCAAAGTTTCATCTTACCCCAAATTTAGAGGCTGCTGGTCAAAGCAGGCAAACATTTTTTTTTTCTATAAAAAAAAAATCCTGAACCAAATCCCATACATTTTAATACATTTGAAATTTAAAAAGTTGTTTTAATTATTAATCTCAAATTTGAGTAGGCCTATATAATATCTGACACAGACCATGAATTTAATTTTGTTTCATAAAAGATAAGACAAACTAAGTTTTAAGACTGTGCAATCGGATTGGTCCAGGTTTCACCAGTTTATGGATTGTATGTTTCCACTTATCTCAATCTAATTATCTCTGCTTCAAATCAAACCCCAACTTTAGCATGAACTCCCATTGTGCAGCAACAACTGTACAAGTTGTTTAAAGTTTCCACATCACAGATGGATGCTAGCCTGGCCAACCATGCACTGAACTAAAATCAGTTTAGTAAAGCTCAAAACACTCCTCTCTAAAATGGACCTGGCCAATCACAGCGCAGCAGGCGGGTCCAAAATGCAAAAGGGACTTTATATATCCATAACTGTCATATTGCCACAATGGAGCAACATTTTATTGATGTCCTTTATTATAAGGTGGAAAAACGGTTAACATCATTAAAACTTTAATAACTGGCTGCTGTAAGAGCTTTTCTTAAAAGGACAACAACAACAAAAATAGTTTTTGCATCACACCCGATTGGTTATCCGATTGGTTCTAAGCAGTCTCCTCTGAGTCCATTAGTCTTGCCTATAAAAACGGGCTCTACCTGCTCCTTTCAAGATGAATATACTGTTTACACTGTGTACATTAGTCTGGTTGACCAGGGTATAGATGCACATGCAAATACACAATAAAAACGCTGACCATTCACTGTTTCTAAAGGTTTGAGGCGCCCACTAGGCAGTTCCGCCCTGGGTTGTGAGCCATAGCCCATATCTAAAACCAAAAGCTTGGGAATCAAGGATAAGGGATTGGATTAATCTTGCATGCAGATGGTATTTATGAAAAAAAAAAGAAAAAAAGAAAAAGAACTCAGTGTACTAAAATGAAACTTCACCAAAGTTCACCATACTTACTGAATGGATCAAACAAGTTATTCAAACTTTGTCAACTCTTTTTATTCACTTAAAAACCTACTCCAGAATAAACTTCTCTGGAGAAGGTGAAATCAATCTGAGAGGGTTTGGTTATGTTGGGTGTGTGTGTGAGTGTGTGTGTGGCTGCATGCCCCCTACCCCAGCCCTCCACCCCCTCTTTACAGGACTGCCAGACCGTCTACAGTTATTCCAGGAATGTGTTGAACATGGCTGCCGCGATGAAGGCGCAGAAAACGGGACTGCTGGAACTTCGAATCACCGTGGACCGCTGGATCCGAGTGCTGGCCACGCTTACCGAGGACACTCTAAGCGTAAACCCCGGCGAGGGCGCAGAGGAGCGCGCAAAGCCAAACCCGAGTCCCGCAGGTGCTGTCAACGGAGACCCTCCGAACCTCAGCTCGTCCCCGGTCCCGGAAACCATCACCAATGTGAAGCGCACCGTGAGAGTGACCAAACAAGATGTGGGAGGACTTGGAATTAGTATCAAAGGTAGGGCGACATTAAGGAGGGACTTCATAATAAACAGAGGATCACTGTCAGTTAATAAGTTTGACTGGGAGTTTGAGAAATAAACACAGCAATCAATCAGCCTTTAGAGTCTAATTAACTCTTGAAAACACGCTTCAAGTTAAACCAAACACAACTTCTGGTTCTTATAACTATTCATGCTGATTTTCTGAGTATTTTTGTCCAAAGAAAAAATATGACAGCTGTGATTATTCTGCAGCCTTGACTCACCTAAATGGAGAAACCCTTTCTGTCTCAAAGTCACAGGAAGCAGGTCCTATAGTGGTTGGATCAGAGTCTCAAGCTTTTATGATCAGATAAGATACATTTTTATCCTATTTAATCTTAAATTGAATCCCTGCTGTGAAAGCAACGCAAAACTATGCAGGTATGCTGATCATATATGTTAGTATAACTGGAGAAATAAACACCTTTCACAGGACCATGTGTTTTTGCTTGCCTTTGTTCTCAAAATGACTTTTTTGTGGCTAAAAAATAGTAACTGTGAGAGATTGAGTCAATAAGTTGATGCAATCAACTGATTTCCCTTAGATAGAAACCTTCTAATTGAAATTTGACTGGAAGATCTGGTTGAATTGTAAAATGCCTTAAGATTACATGTGTTGTGAATTGGCTCTATATAAATAAACTGAATTGAATTGAATTAACTCTCCGTAGATTTGCAGCAGACTGCTCTGTTTTGCAGACCTTCCAACTACCATAACTCAAAAAAGCTCGACTAAAAGCTTATTGCTCTATATTTGTGCATTTGTGCATCATAAATTTAACATCTTCTTTTGCAATATGAATCAGTTAAACAATATTATGCATTAACTGACTATAAAATTAAAATAATTTTAAATGATCTGTTTTCTACTGTAGCAAATGGAATAGTAGTTGTTTTTTATACTTATAAAACTACCTATTTAATTCTTTTTTGGAGAAATTATTGTGAGGCTTATACTGGCAATGGAGTGAATGAACATTGCCAAACAGAATGCTCGTTTATATGAGTTATGCTTTTGTAAACTCTTGAGAGGATTCCAGTGCTCTTGGGGTCCTCCTCTGGTGTGGAGGCCGTAATTAGCTGATGAGGTTACTTGTGCTTTGGGCGACACATTTCATAAAAAAAAATTAATAAATAAAATGTCAGTAATTATTAACCAGAATTGTTCGTTGAATGCAGAAAAGTTGTATTCACCATGAAACTATAGCTCCCTTTACATAAGTGGGTATTGCCCTTTAAATCTTTGGATTTTTGAAATTGAAAAAGCTTCCTGGATGGGAAGCAAAACATCTTCAAACTTGGAAACAAAGTCCAGTGGATTGTTTTTTTTTTACTTTTTGGAATGACTATGACCTGGATGACTGAAAATCTTCAGCAGGATCTGTAACTAATTGGTTAATTATACATTGGTTGGTTCTTTTTTTATACCTTTTGTTTGTTGACTTGTGTTCCCTGTATTAGTAATATGACTTGATCAAGCCTTTCTAACATTCTACAATATAGAATAAGCAATAAAAGCAAGTGCTAACATCGTATTGGGTCAATATCAGTGTCAGCCAATTCTCAAATTTGCAATATCATTATCGTGTCGGACATTAAAAAGTTGTATCGGGACACCTCTAACAGTGGATCCTGCAAACATAAACCCATCTGTCTGTCATTATTTCTTTTTACAGAATTGTAGGTTTTTGTGAGTTTAGTCACTTTCAAAGCAGAAGTGTGCTTTTTGTCACTTTATGCCAGCTTGTAAACACTTTGATTGGATGACATGATTCTATCTGAATTGTAGAGACTTTTTTAAACATGGTTGCTACCATTGCCAGTGATGAGCTAGGGTTAAGTGTTTTTTGAGAGAAATAGCCCCATCTCATTGCTAGATGAGAGTTATTCCTACACAGTATCCCTTTAATTATTAAACCCATTAACCGTCCATTGTCCACTGGTAAAGACTTAAACTTCCAATAGTTTTTAGCTAAGACCAACTGTTAAGGGGTTAATTTCAGTGGATAGAAAGGCATCTGTCTAAACATTCCCAGCCAATTCTATTGAGTAGACCTCCTCAGCCCAAGGATGCATGTAACAATCCGGGAGAGGAACCTTTTCCTTTCAACAATAAAAAAACCTCAAACAAAACTAACTTAGGGTTAAGAGGCCAGAGACAGGCTTAAAAAACAGCAGAAGAAGTAGTCTTACATCTGTTAGAAAAGAGTGCTTCAGGTAATTAGAGACATAAGCTCAAAAGGTTTTTCTACTTAGAGAAAAACTCAGCTAAACAGATTCAGCTTTAGTGCTATCCATGGAATAAAAAAGTAGGAACAGAGCAGACAGTTAATGAGAGCCCAGGTAAAGAGCCTTTTTAAGAAAGGGGATGAGATATGATTTATTTTCAAGCAAACAAACCAGTGCACAAGTTGCCTGACTTCCATCCTTATTTTTGCCATTAATGCTTTAAAAGTTATTTAACTTGCTGAACTGTAAATAATTAATATGCAAAACATATCCATTAGATAGAAAAAAAGAACAACTATAAAAATTAAAGTCTTGTGTCTCTTTTTTAATTTCTTGTGAACAGAACTGGAACGGATTTGAATTTACTGACTCTTAAGGCTGATTTATACTTGCAGACCAGGTCGTCTTCTTAGATGTTGCAGTTAACGCAGATGTGCCTCCGCCCCTCCTGCAGACACTTTGGTGCACCTTTCCAAAATTGTAGGTGACCGCAGACAGTGCCGCAGACAGGAGGCCTCTGGTTCGTCAAATCTACATCCACTCTACACTATGCGTATTTCCTGTTTGGTACCTTACCGGCTTGTTTTGTTTGTATGACCGCCATTGTGGAAAATGACTCATAAAGTTGGACCAGCTAGAAGAGCGAGCTGCACGGGAACGCTGGGACCCTTTTTCCACCTGGATCCCTGCTCTTTTTCATCCTCATGTGCCTCTGTTGTTGGACAAACCCACTTCCTCACCGCCGTATCTAGACCCACAGCTAGTTCATGATTGTCCCTTTTGTGTTGTGGAGTGGAATAACATAATACAGACAACACTTCAAAATTGAGCGTAAAATAAGAAATGTCTGCGTCATACCTGCGACAAGCTCACTGTGACACACTGCTGTGGGAGCATAACCAGCCTGTTACTGTCACATTTCTTTTTACTTGTACCACTTTACTGTGTATAAACATATTAAGGCGATTGCACACAAATGTGACAACATTTTAAGTGTGGTTAACCATAAATTCACACAATATAACCATTTCTGGATTTTTCCAGTTAGACCATGCCTTTGGATGTAAGACATCAACTGTCTGCAGTAACAGTAAGGAAGCAGCTTGCACACAGAGAGAGCTGCTGCACAACAACATTGACTCACAGAATCAATGCTGCTTTTTTAACTTTTTAGTCAGATAAGTCTGACCTCTCTGTATCTTTCAAGCCAAGCTAGCATTCTTGTGTTGTGTAGCTCTGTGATGCCGATAAAAGTCTTTTCATCATCCTGTTTCTTCGACCTGCATTAAAGGCCATTATCTTTGAGGCACGATCACAATGAGAAGAAGAATGGAGAGGTGAGGTCTGAAAGACAATGTAAATAAAAAGATTAAATCATAGGGGTGTCAAATGGATAGTGGAGAAATGATTACATTTTATTTATTTGAGTTCCTGGAAAGGTTTGCCTCTCATAAATGCAACATAGAATCAAACCCTAAAAGTACTAGGAAGAAAAGAAACAGACCTGATTTTTAATGGATGTGTTTGTTAAGTTTTCTTGCAATTTTATTAATAATTACAATTTAATGTACTTTATATCTATTTGGACCCAATTGAATTAGGTCAGTTGGTTTGCGACGGTACACTTTAGTAGTGTTGTGTGCAGTATTCTAACAATGTACAGTAGTATATGTGTGATAAGAGATGTTTTTCTTTTGACTGTATGCAGTATGTGTTTGAACTTGCATTGAAGTGAGCTACATTCTCCTCCCCCTGGAAGACTTTATGCACACAGGTAATCACTTGATTGTTGGTTGACAGCCATGCGTTGAGTTTGCTTGATGGCCTGTTGTCAGCTTGCACTACTGTCGTTCTGCAAAGATGGCTCATCATTGTAAAAATGCTAATTTAAACCCTCCACTATTGTCAGCAGCGACAGAACAAAGCTAAGCCCTTGTGACATAAACGCAATGTCCGTCTTTTTAGAAATGGGTGGTTATGAAAACAAGACAGCATGTTATTAAAATAAAGTCATGGCTGGCAGCCTGTAGGATTGACATTGTTGTGATGCTGGCTGCTCCAACGCAGAGAAGGAAAAAATAGTGCAACAAAGCGGTGCAAAGAGCATGCTGCAGATGAGATGGGACGTGGATTTAGCCAAATAAGGTAAATCAGAAAGGAAGAAAAACATTGGGAAAGGTGTCAGACTGAAGCACGGGAATGCAAATGAAAGACGGCAGAAGTTGTTGCGGGATAGCTGACACCACATTGTGAACAGCTGAGTGGAGAGGTCCGCAGCAGTCAGTTGTCATTGGCCTCAGATGAAAGCTATGTGGCTGGGAGTGGAGTACTCCACTGGTGTTAATTTTAGGGAGCCCACCCTAGCTTGCAGAAGAGCATGGAGGCAACCTTTAGTCATATGTCTAAATTTAAGAGTGGAGGCTGGGAAGCTAGACTTCTGGTCTCTGGATCAGACCACTTTCCTGAGTGAGAGGTAGAATGGTTTCTGCTGACCTTTTGTTTTTTTTTTGTAAGCTCCTCATTTGCATGATTTGGGATTTCCCTGTAGCAGAAATAACAGAAGGCAAATAATTTTTTTTTTAAAAAAGATCATCAAAACAAGCCATCATGTGTGTTGTTTTAGTGACTTTGTTTTAAAAGAAACAGTGGCTGCTGCAAATTGTTTTTAAGTTTTGTTCTAAACCTGTTGTTTGAAGTTTGTGATATTTTTTAATAATGCTGTAAGAACCTTTCCTCATAAAGCTCA